CTCTCTCTCTCTCTCTCTCCCGTCATACTTATTGACGTGAATGTTAAGAATAAAGGAATAAATAAATTATTATTTATTTTAAATTTCAATTAGGTTTTGTAGAATACAATTAATAAATGTAATTATTTGTAATCATTTTGGAAAATTATTTCTTATGTGACTAAATTTAAAAGGAAATGTAAATGAAATCAAAAACAAACATTTGTCAACACATATCACGAAAATACAAATCATATACTTTTTGAGAAAAATATAACTTTCAATAGGAGTTACCAATCATTTGGAAATACAATCAAACTTATAATTAACGCTAAAATAAACAATAATTATTTCAAAAAACATTGTTTTATTTTCTTTTATTTCACTTTCGTTGACGTCTGTCAAACATTTACCACAATTATTGCCAATACTTAAAGTAAATACAACATTAAATCAAAGAGTTTAGTCATCACTTTCTCTTCATTATCACCTTCTTCTTCACGAATGAATAGTTCACTGAATTTTCCATTAAAAACAAGTATAGAAAATAAGGCGTCGGCACGACATCCAAACATTAAGACCACATATAATTCAATATATTTCCATATCCTTTGTTTTGAATACAAAAAACACAATGAATTTTGTTGTCTTACGTCTGGAAAGACCGTCGAATTAATTGTATAAAATGATTATTTACTCTCCTTTTCAGCAAACCATTTATAAAGTATATAAATAGTGTACGAAATCAATGGTTTCAAACATTAATTATAAGAATCAGACAAAGATTTATTAGAAATTTTTATTTAAATATTTCTCGATATTTATCATTATATAATTTATAGTCAACAAAATAATATATTAATTTTATTTTAGTCAATATTTCCTTTAATTCATATCATATCGCAAACAAAATGTCAAATTTCGTAAAAATCTTAATCATATGTACCATTGGTTTGACTGCGGATGTGATGTCTCGACCGCACTGTCAAGTGTCTGAGGCGTCGGCCGATGAGTGCGGCGAACGACTCATGTTTATCGGCCAGCAGTCGACAGGTCTGCCGAAGTCGGACGCGGAGATGAAGACCCGATGCGATAACGTTAACGAAGGCCTCCAATGCCTCAAGAAGTACTCGAAGACCTGTTTGGATCCGTTCGCCACACAAATCATGAATATTGTAATGAAAAACGGCGACAAAATGGAGGCCAAGTATTGCAAAGACGACGGCGAGAGAAAAAGTATGTCTAAATATATTAATAAAATTTATATAATTGTTAATAAATATACAAATTAAACATTTTTGTGCCCAAACATCGCTGTCTGTAGAGCTGTTGGACGCGTTTATGTGCGCCAAAGACGCCGATTTGGGTCCATTGCACTTATGTATGGAGAAGTTCATTGTCCAGATGGAGCACTTGCCACAAGTGAATGGTGACCACCGGATACCGGCCACGTGTTGCTCATTCCAGCTCATGGATAAATGTGTTAAAGAAACCTCACAACATGTTTGCACACAAAAAGACAAAGTTGAATACATGACCAAATTCTTGACCGAAATGGTAAATTGGTTTTGGTTTTATTGCTAAATAAATGATTGTTAATTGATTATTATTTTTGATTTCAATGTCCAACAGACAGGTGAGCTGATAAAGACTGGTTGTGGTCGGTTTGATAGCCTATCGCATTGCGATAACGCTATGGATAAGACTGAATGGCAGAATCTGAAGAATTTGGTCGCTTCGGATGACCCGAAAGAAATTGCGGCCAAACGCGTCAATACCTCCCCATTCGTGGCCCTCAAGAGTGTGCTCAAGAATCTGATGGAAGAGTAATCCCGATGTTATACAACCCATTCAACAACCTCTAGGATATTGAATTTAAATACTTTGTTTCTTAAATAACTTTATTTTGCATTTTAGTTATAAATTTAGTCACTAAATGTAACCAATAATAAAATGCCAATAAACATAACAATTAAACATATTTTTGGAGGAAAATAAATTTTAATAACATGGTAACATCTTGCTCGTAACTCATTGCAATACATATTTGCAATTATTTTTAATAATAATTAGAATCATTTGTAACAACATTGCATTATTTAACGGGAAGTGGTGGAAAATCTTTCCATTTCTAAAATAGTTAAATTAAAATTATTAAAAAAGTATAATAAAATAGAAATATTATATAATTAATTAGATTATAAGTAACTATGGATAGCATAAGGTTTACATACCGCTCGACACTCTCTATGACTTCCATCCTGTAAAATAGTAGAAACAAATGGTGTAATTAATTAATATAATAATTAAATCGCGCGTAACTCACAGCCAACAAATTGCAAAGTTTACCAAGGTGTCCGGCCATGGACATTAACTTGGCCATGTCGATGGTGTGCATTTTGGCCTCTTTCATGGCACAGGCGGCCATCTCTCCCTGCATACTAGGGTTGCAAACCGATGCCTTCACATTACACATCATTTTAGTGCCGGGAGAGCCGTCCGCTATGAAACATTCTAGAGCGCCGTCGATTAGGAAATGCTAAACATGCATAGTTATCAATTAAGATTATTACACTAGCTTATTATAAGTTACTATAACCATACTATACAGTGACTACTACAGTATGTAAATACAAATATAATTGCTTCTGTGATTTACCTCATAGTCCTCATCAATACATTTAATGGCGTGAAAGAAGACATGTTTTGCTAAATTCATTATTAGATCCGATTTGATTCCGTCTAACATAACAAATAATTAATATAAACTAATTAACAAAACACTGTATTCTTTATACATAACTATTTTCATTTATAATAAAATTCTTAACAAACATATAAACTGATAGTTAAATATAAAAATAAGTGACCTACACTTGGGTTTGCAGATCTGATCCAACATGAATTTGAACTTGGTGGCACAAGTCATGATCTCCTTAATACCACCTGGCACCTTTTTCGGCGGACATGAAAACCTGTGCGGCGACGGCTTGTGAGCGGCCTCTGAGATAGCGATGGCCACTAAAATCAATGATAAACTGTAACTGAATCTCACGTCAAATATCATCGCAATTTCTACAAAGACTAACTAATTCACAGCTATTGATGGTATAAAATATAATCATTTTATAATTAAAAGTTTTATATCACTATCGCTAACCATTAAATTACAATTAAACTGTTTATTCACCATTTTATCATGGGCTTTTGTAATTGTAATTAATAAAGTATAACCTAATGTCATAGATATCGAAGCATTTTATCGTAAATGTGCTTTAAAACAGGTGAACTAAACTAATCCTTTAAGATTTGTTTGTCTGTTTTTTGGTGATCATTAAATCTGTTTGTAATGTAATGGTAAAATTAATTTGCAATTTAGTGTTAATGTCATAATTTTCCATTAATTTCTTCAACAAGCGATAAACAATGTAAAACACATTTTTATAAAATAATACACTTGCTTCAATCGATTGACAAATGTTTGACATAATATTTAATTCAAAATAAATAAATAAATTTATATTTTAAAGAATAACCAAAAGATAGTTTTTTCGTTAATTTTACTAATATATAAAATACATTATTTCTAAATAATATTATAAATACACAG